TGGTAGGGAAAAACCATGTTTCTAAAAAAATTTTAATTGATCTAGCTCAACTCTAACTAGACTATATTTTAAGACATCGAGTGTAAAGCATTTTGGCGAAACTTTTATGATACGAAAAGACAATAATTTTTAAAAATGTAGTATTAATATAATTGTTTAAAATATAATTCTTGTCTATTATTTCATCTATTTAAAGTTTTATATATAATCAAATATAACATTAGGTTCATAGCTTTAATCATTTATGACAATAATTAATATGTAATATGCTTTTTAATGCATATTATTAAAAATATTTATTTTTAATACCATATAATTAATAATATCGTTTACAATAAATATAAGTTGTTATTTTTAAAAATATTTGAAAACTAAATGCTCTTATATTGAACAATTATATTTACATAATTTTAAATGCATTTTAATGCATAGTTTGAACACACTATTATTAACTAAACGTTTTAATAGAAAACTGTCTCAAAAATATTTGTTACAATTTGGTTTATAATTATTGCTTTGTATATCAGCCAGAACATAAATAATTGCTTTAATTTGAGGCAATGGGATTACTTAATTATATACAAGCACTTCAACATTAACTTATACAGTATTTTCATTATTTATTTATCCAGTGATAAAATGCTAGACTATATGCTAGACAAACAACTCATAAACAATTATTATATCTTAAATAACTTTCTAGAAAAGTGATTATAATTAAAAAAAACAATTTTTATCATCTTATAAAAATGTAACGATTGTATTGCCTAGTAATTAAAACGTGGATTAATTAAAATAGTTGCTAAATCTTAACAAAAATAGATTAGCTTTCACATAATAAAGTTTTAATTATTGTGGGCTAAACGAGAAGTTAGCTTGCTTCTTTATATTATTCTTGTTAGGCACGTTATTTATATCAATATCAATTTATTTAACAAAATAATTGTATTAATTATATAAGCATAATTGTAATAAACTGAATCATAGAATATTTAGCGGGATTTAGGCAAATCTAATAAAATTAATATTGTTATTCTAGAATCTTCGTAAACTTATCTAGCTCAGAAGGGAATATTCTATACCATAATCAATTTCAATAAAGTAATTTATTTCAAATACTGTATTAATCATTTGTTATTTACGAGCAGGGATGATAAATTTTGTTTTTCAAATGATAGATCATGCATATATCAGGCAATACAGTATTATAATTCAAGTACCTTTCCGTTTGTCTAATAAAAATTAGATTTAAATTATATTACTTGTATTGATTTTGTTTTTCATTACAGAATATGATTAATTATCACCTGTGCAAAGTTGCATAATCTTATAAAGCTTTTATGTCAATATTTGTCTAAATTGTCATTTTCATAAAAGGTATATAAACTGGATAGTATCATTGAAAAATATACTAACAATTATTTACTATTTGAAGAATTCAATATAGCAAATTAACTCAAAAACAATGGTTAAAGTATTGATCGCGGTACTCTTGATATGTGCTATCTACATACAATTTGCTGATGCCCAAGAACCAGGTACATTTATATTTTATTTAATATATTCTAATTACTAGTCGCAAATTATGCAATATATATTATAAACCTGATTTAAATAAAATTAAAAAACCCTATTCAAATGCGTTTACTTTATAATTAAACAAAATTAAGCTTGTGTGTGCGGACTTGAGCTAGGACGTTTGTGCGGCAACCGACACGATGTGGACGTCCCAAAATCGGAGCCCTATTTAACTGGCGACGGTTGCACCTCCAATAGCCTATACGAGTGCCGATTCAAGCACGGGGATGCTATATTCATTGCCAAATGTCCAAAAGGAGCTTGTCAACATAATATAGCCGGCGAGGACACGTGCTTGGTTGCCTAAATTGGCTGCCAGGGTTATTTTTTATTTTAATTATGAACGCTAATTGTTTTGGGTAAAACTTAACAAATTCTAATTTATATTTAAATAAAATTTTTTGAGCATTATAATTTTCTATATTTGGTATATAATGTGTAAGGAACAGTTTTTGTGCATTTCTTAACTTATTAAGTATAATTAAATAATATCTGATCTTTTAAAATAAAAACCGGATTATATATAGGATATGAATTGAAAGATTTTTCATTGCTTGCGAGTAAAGTTTAAAATTTAATAAAGTTTAATATAAGTAGCATGCATAATAATTGTTAATTAATTTATTTTTCATGAAATGTTTTTGATGGATTTATCATTTCTTGGATTTAGCAGATTTAAAAAAAAATCTTACCTACAGGTGCTCCCTATGATTTATTGTGACAATTACTAGTTAAATCCCGATAGAAGGGTTCAATTATTTATTTATTTTTTTTATAAATATATATTTAAATTGTATTTATAAGAATTGTAAATTGATTCATAAACTATGGAAATTAATTAAAAATAGTTTTAATTTTCGTTATAGCAATATATTTACAGAGTGTGCCACTTAAGGTTTAAACATTATATTTATTGATGAATTTACCATGATAGAGTGATTGATCACAAACTTTTAAATAGATAGAACTATTCGTGACTTGCTCATTTTGTGATTGCCTAATAATACATTCAAAATAAAATTTCAAACAGTGAAATTTGAGATGAAGCCGCCATTTATTATTTACTAAAATCATTAAATAATACTGTAAAATAATAATATAAAAACAATTATTTTAGCATTATACAACTTTACAAAATGATACCTGTAAATAAATATCACTATAATTATATCACTAATGATTATAAAAATATGTCGTAAGACAAAACAATAAATAATTCAAACTAATGGTCATATTATTTTTAAATATAATTAGGGTTGCCAACTATTTCCATGCCTGAGAGGACAAATAGTAAAATGTGAAGTTTGATTAATAGGACATTGGGGGAACTATAACTTTTAAAGCATTTAATTAATGATATTTAATAATTTTTAAATCCTAATAGCAACACGATATTTTAAGCCTAACTAAATTTCTTATTCAAAACACTACTTGAACTACATTATCAATTGTGTAATTAATAGATTAAAGAATTTCTAAACACTCAAGTATTTTCAAAAATTTTTATTAAGTAATTTTATAATAAAGTCTCAATTTGTATTAATTTTGACAAATATTTATGTGAGGACAAGTTTGTAGGGCAGATAGGATAGCAAGCGTTATAATGCTGGACGTTTGGCAACCCTAACTAAGTAAAAATATCTAATAAATTAATAAACTAGATATCATTAATAATGGAAATTAATTTAGTATTAATGATATTTTTATTAATAAACCCAAATATAATATAATCTACTTTATAAAATTTCTATTTCATGTGACATTAGATTTTTTAATTTTTAATAATAATATGATTGCGTTTTAATATCATACTAAGTGCATGTCGTATGATAGACATTGAATTCAATAGCAATATACCTTAATAAATTGAATATTCATAGTGAGTAATGTACTAAATGTTAATACTTTTAAAGTTACAATTTGTAAATGAACTCATTTACCATGATAATTAAAAAATGCATTCATAATCAACTGTTAAAAGGATTATTTAATTAGTCTATGTGTATTCTATAGTTAGTGTCACAAAAAAATTCACTAGAATCAGAATAATCTGTATAATTCAATTCTCATAACATACAAGGAATATATTCAACTATACTTTAAATATAAAATGTAATATTTTATTACCAATACTGTATTTAATTGAAAAGATCGATGTTCAATAGATTAATGTTTTTAAACTAGTATTTATATTTATTTAATATTATATGAGTTCTTGGCTTAATACAGTATTGCAATGTCATGAGAATGAATTGACTTACACACAGAATATTCTGATTTTTATTGAATTTTATTTTGTGATATTCTTTTTAAACATAAATTTTGGATTTAGCAATACTTATTAACTAATCTTTTAAACAGTAGATAACTTTATTTCCGGTTTAGACTGGTCATTTAAATTATTCACAAAACAATATTTAACTAGGTGAAATAAAAATTGAATTCTGTTAGTAGGACCCGATAACTCAATGGTTAGATATTTATTAAATAGCTTTCATGATCACCTACTAAGACATATAATTATTTGATTATGTGGGAATATACACCAAACACAAGTTGTGTAACGTTAGATACTAATCACTCTAGCACAGATTGGGCTAATAACTCAACATTCAGTCCCTTTTACATCTATCTGTATGCAACACCGCCATTGGTCACTTATAGGGAATGGATGGTCAGTACGACTGTCCCGGATGTGGACAACAGCACACTATTACACTACGAATATTGCGGTCCATTTGTAGTACTATTGAAAACATTCGCCCAATACATCAATATCAAGTAATATAGTTTAAAATTTAATTTAAAAATTAACTTTAAAATAATTCATATATAGATCTTAATTATGTGCAAGTATTACATTATACAATATTATTCATAAAATTTATAATTTATATTTATATATAAAGTTTCAAAGTTTAAAATAATCTTGAATAAATATAAAATAATCTTTAATAGCTTTATTATTTAAAATAATTTTCAGTTTTCAATTACCAAGGCAATTAAAGGAAATGACTGATATGAAAGAGATATACATCGAGATAATGGAGCAAGCTGAGTTACCAATTATTGCCCCTTATCCATTTCAGCCACATGTATTGGGTAATTGGCTTGAAAGCTTTGTTGGGTTCAATATGACCAGGTTCATTAGCTCATTTGGTGGCGATGTAATAATCAGCCAAATGCATCGGAGTACTTTATATATTTTTAAAATTATAAATATATTAATAACATGTAAATTAAATCAATTCCCTTATACGGTAGTACCAAGATCCAAATTTAAGTTCATCGACTGTTGGGATCACAACATATACTTATGGCTCGTATTGTCTATGATATTGATTTCCGCCTTATTTGGTGTCAAATACCGGTCTATCACTGCATGTCTGCACACCCTTTGGACATACATTTCGGTCATACTATCGGATTCAATGCAAATTAAACGGGAGTTTAATATAATGGAGAGACTATTAGGAGGCCTATGGCTCTTGATTTCTGGTACACTATTGCTGTTCCTATACTCCGGGTTCATATACGACACGCTTATAAGGGCTGACGAGTACGACAAAGTCGAGGGTAAATGGGATTTGTATTATAAGTCCAATTATAAGAAATCTCAGATCCATATCTACGCTCCAGACTTTTTCGAAAGTATCCTGCTAAAAGTTCGTGAAAATGATACCTTGGCAAAGGATATTTATGAAAGGTACATTTTTGCTGACTGGGTTGAGACCCTGTATAGTGTTAAACTACAAACTCAGGTATAATTATTATATGAGCATAATTTATTAAGCTTACATTGTTTATTGTGTCACCTAGATATTTATAGATATTTTGGAAAATAATTCCGTGCTAATTATTCCCAATAATATTGGTCATTACATAATGAGCCAGGTGGTGGACTATGTTAACACTAATAGTCAGATTAATTTGTTGGGAAACTATTATAATAAATATAAAAACGTATTTGACCAATATAAATCTGGTGGTTGGGAAGCACTAGAAATACATGTTACCGATCCCTCTAATAATTCAATGATTTATTCCTGGATCATTCAAAATGAATATAAACAAGATCTTGATTATATGTAAATTTACCTATCACATTTCAATTTATATTTATTTAATAGATTAACTTTTTTTAGAGTGACCAGGCTACAGGAAAGTGGTATTTATGAACATGAAGTGAGAAAGTCAATGACACCCAAAGGATTTGGACGCGATTTTGACAAGATTCAAGAAAGTAACCAGGTGGATCATAATCCAATATCAGTAAATTATGTAGCGGGTGTTTTCTACATATTATTATCTGGTTTGTTTATGGCAATTATTGTCTACCTCTATGAATTTTGTGCTACTTTAACATTCTTTATTAAATAATGTCGTTACTAATTAACAATTAAAAATTGTATTTCTTTTAGTATTAAATATTTTACCGTACAAATTCATTTTAAAACAAATAAATATTGTTTACAGAAAAAAATCTTTAATATACAGTAAGTCTATGATCATGTTACACACTTTTAAGTTTCCATGTGGCCCTTTTACATTTATCAAACTTTAAATATAAATTAATTTTTATTAATGTTTAACTAAGTACGGAGTGAAGTACGTTGTTCATAAAATGCTTTATGTTTTAAAATGTGCAATATTTATAAGAATTAAAATTAATTAACTTGTTTTATAAACTTATTTTACTGTATTTTAAAATTTTAATAAATTATGTTCAATTTTTATATCATTATTTATTAAACATGTAGTTAATAAATACATGTAGTGCCAATTGTTGTTCATACAATTGTGTGATGAGATCCCCAATTAATTTGTGATATAATTAAATCAGCTTGCTCAAAAAATGATATGTCTGGTTTATGGTAGCCATGCTTATCCACTGCATGTTTCATTTGTCCCCTATTATTACTACAATGTGTTCTCTATAAGGGCAACACAATGGTGATTTGAGAATTAGTTGCCCTTATAGAATTATTGCCCCTATGAAAGTTGCCCTAATAAGAACCTTAAGCATTATATAGCCCATAGGAGTTGCCGGTGTTTTCAAATTGTGTTGCCGTTAAAGAAAATAGCCCTTGTAGAAGGTGCCCTTATAGAGAACACATTGTATCAGCTAGTGTTGCCAACTCTAAACCTTTTCAAACTGGAGATTTTCAGTAATTCAGGCTAATTTTCCTGGAGAATCCTGGAGAAATAATTTTGCTAAAATTTAATGTCAGTTCAGTTTATGTGATATTTTTCATATTTTAACACAACAATTTCTAAAACTAAAATAATATTATTTTTTAAATATTTATAAATTATTTTAATTTTATCACAATTAATTTTAATAATTATTTTTTGCAGGTTATTATAAAATTTGGTAAATAATCTCTTTACATTTTTGAACATTTTTGAACATCTCTTTACAAGTTCAATACATTTTAAAACACTATATCTTATGCGTATTTTGTATTCAGTTATTATGTTTTAATTTTTAATGAAAAATCGCACATACCTTTGGTAAATCTTGCACTGATATATGTAAATGTACAATAGTTACTCCCTTATTAAGAAATACTATAATAAAGCATAATCAATCATAAGATATTTTACGGTATAAATGTTTTATTTAAGTTATAAAATGACTATAATTCTTAAGAAATAACATTAGGTTTGAATATTGTTTGCAATTAGTCTTATTAATGCAGCTTGTATGAAATAATAGAAAAATTATTTTAGATCCTGTGATGAGGGGTAATATAAATATTTTATGCCAATTTAATTTTTATACTAATAATAAATTTGTATTTTTATAAATTAACACAAAGAATAATAAAAATGATTTGTAAAATATTTTATGGTATTTAAGATAATTACCGAATTATCTGTCATAAAATCGCATGCAATACAACCATATTTTCTGAGAAGGTGTGCAATGTGGTCTTGGGTCATTTGACCTACAAATGTTCAAAATTGGACTTTTACCCTCATTCAACTCAGGAACAAAAAATAAACGTTTTCCAAAAATTTTTCATAAAGTGCGTCTCTAAATATCTACGTTATTTATGGACGAATTTATTTTTAAACGTTATTTTTGAATTCCTTACCTAACCTAACCTCACCTAAAAGTGTTTGCATCCATAAATAACGTGTTTGAATTTGTAGATCAAATGTCCCGTAGATCAAATGACCGAATACCGTGCAATGTTCATTAAGTTGTATTGCACTCTATTTTAGGTCAATTTTGTAATTCATTACCAAATGAGTTAGTATTGTACTAATGAGTCAAACGTAAAAATAACAAGAGATTTATTAAAATATAAATTGAATTTCGACTGGAAAAAACTATCATTATTTCCAGATTATTGATAATATTTAAAATACTCATTGAAACAAACACTATGTACTTAATGAAAATAAAAAATTTTAAAACTAATTGCTTATTTACATTATACAAATATATTATCATCTCCTTTCATAAAGGGTTATGTATTTTTCAATGCAAGCTGTATACATAACACAATCATTATATTCATACAGTAGTGTCAAATATATTTATAAATCATTCACAGACAGGCGTTGTTTTTAAATAAAATTGATTCATTGGCTATTATGGCACTGACTAAACGGCCGGTTGCCGTCTGCCGGTTCCGTTCGACGGTAAATCCAAAGTGCCGGTCGATACCGTTCGATACCGTCTGCCATTCGTTGCTGTTTGCCGGTTGCCGGTTGATGCCGTCTGCCGGTTGAAAATGCCGTTCAATTAAGGTTGTACTGACCAATTCAGCCACAAAAGTTAAAACTGACCAGTGGTAGGTTATAATGTCTAGTTGTGGTCAGTTTGGTCAATAATAACTTATTGTGGTAAAAATCATGCAAAATATGTACAATTTTTAATATTTTGGTGTAATGACCAAGATTGGTCAGTTGTATTATTTAAGGTTGCTAATCAGTTAAATATCATTAATTATAACATCAAACATTAGTCATATTACTGACAACTTCACTAATGAAGTTAAAACTGACCATTTTTATGTTATGTCTAGTTGTGGTCAGTTTTGTTAATATTAAGTAATATAATAAATAAAATACTTTAATTTAATAAAAATATTGCTAAATGAATTTATGGGTAAATAGCCTCCAGTAATGATCACAAAGACCAAATGATGACTAACTTACCAATACTGGTCATTACACCAAAATATTAAAAATTATACATATTTTGCATGATTTTTACCATGGTCAAGTTATTATTGACCAAACTGACCACAACTAGACATTATAACCGACCACTGGTCAGTTTTAACTTTTGTGGCTGAATTGGTCAGTACAACCTTAATTGAACGGCATTTTCAACCGGCAGACGGCATCAACCGGCACTTTGGATTTGCCGTCGNTGAACGGCATTTTCAACCGGCAGACGGCATCAACCGGCACTTTGGATTTGCCGTCGAACGGCACCGGCAGACGGCAACCGGCCGTTTAGTTAGTGCCGCTATTCTCCATAAGTTTATATGAAATATAACTAATATTACTAATAAGTTGACCAAGCTCTAACGCCTGTCTGTGAATGAATTATACATATTGTATACTACATGTCACTAGTACATACTACTTAAGTCTACAGTATATACAATGTTATGTAGACAATTTGCGTTGAAAAATACATAACCGATGTATGTACGAGATAATAATATAAATTTCATTACAAACGGTGACTGGTGTTTTTTATTTGTTAATAAATATTTTAATTATAAATTGATTTACATTATAAAATATAAACAATTAAGTTCATTAGTATTCATTTTGCCGGTACACATTTAAAATATAATTATTTTTATCATTTATTAATTTACACGATAATTTATTCAGGGGAATGTATGTCGGTATAATTTTATTATAGATATCAATGTTCTTTTTAAAAAAAAATATTACACGATCAACTTGCGGGGTATATTGACTTGTATGTAACAATTTACTGACTGTCCCTATAACTTATGGGCAGTTTTTTCATTGGGATAGCCATAAACTCCTGGAGATATACAGGGTAAGGCTATCGGTTTTAGGTTATGTTCTGCAATTAAATCCAATGAACACTTATAACACCACTCCAGTTGCTCGAGGTTCTCACCTACCGGGCCTACGGTATGAATAATATCTGACTCAAACTCACTATGAATTTAACACTTATCGAGTAAATATTTTATTTTAAGACAATTTTATAAATTATTTATTTTCATAACTATTTTACAACTTTAACCGCTTACCTAATTAAACCTGGTCATTCAAATATTAAGGTAACATATTTTAACTCTTAATTATGTTATATTTTTATAAAAACTATGGTAATTCAAGTTTACCAAGATAACAATCAGATTACTCTTATAAAATATTTAATTATTTTTATTTTATTATCTCATAAGTTAAACTTTTAATTCAAATATTTTTGGAGTAATCAGATTTTTACCAAGGTGAACATGAAATTCATAATACTAAATATCCAAAAACTAGTTTTATTTATTTCATTATTTTGAATTAATAGAAATAAAAAAATTTTATCATATAACATTTTGCATAGTAGTTGCAAAATATTTTAAAGTATTATATAGAATTTCATATTAACCATAGTAACTAGCATTCATTTAGTTTTTAACTTTCATAATTAGAATTATATTAATATATACGGTTAATTCGCTAGTTACAAAAATTCAATTTACGCAAAAATATTTCAAATTATTATAAAATAATCTTTACTCAATTAGCATCAACTAATTGCCTGGTATTAAAGGTATTAACAAAAATTTATTTTTAAATTATAGTATTTGCTAATTTGCATTGAAATAAATACTGATCAGTAATAAGTTATAATTATATATACTCACTAATTATAATTATATAATATTCGTAATTATATATATTATTCCGTATAATTTATAGTATAAATTTTATACTTAAAAAATTCTATATTAATTTATATAATTAAAATATTCACCAAGATGCCCACTGTATACCACTATAGCACTCGCGAAAATGCCAATAAAATTCAAAAAGATCGTGTCATAAAATCTGGCCCTGGTGCTTACGGCAAATGTGTGTACCTGACCGCCATAAGCCCATCAAAGGGTGACAAGATCATTTTGCTCAACAATTACGATGACGGTGACACCATGCTCAATAATCCAAACTACAAGAATAAAACAGAAGTGTATTTCGCATTTGACGCTGATAATATCGGTGCCACCAAGGTACCTAATACGGGCAATCGTGATGTGTGGATTGTGACTCATGACGTAAAGTGGGAGACCTTGGTTATTGTTTGAATCACAAAGATTAGGTAGCGGAAAAAGTATTTTAAAAATATAATATTATGCATACTTGAAAGTTTATAACACGAAAAGTATTGCCAATATAATGAGTTGAACAAGTTTTTATATAATAATATTTTTAATCAATTATTTTTTTTAAATAATTAATAATTTTTTTTATGTTATTATCAGGTACATAGTCAATAATTATTCTATGTTGCAATAAATAAAATATAAACTTAAAGCGTAGAAATTTATTTTAATAAACTAAAATGTACATTTAAATATTTGAGATTTTTACAAATGATAATTTTAACATACTACAATATTAAAACGAATTATTATTTTATCATTGCTAATATTACTATAAGCAGCACTATATCTGGTAATTGTAAGTTTTAATGACAAAAAATGTCATGCTTATTTATTACCATTTATCTGAACAATTAAGTTTATTATTAAGAATTTAACGAGTTCAAGCTATTAAAAATATTATTTTAATCATTCATTAATTTAAATTATAATTTGTTCATGGGAAAATATGTCGGAATAAGTTTAGTATAAATATCAATGTCCTTTTCTAAAAACAGACAAAATATCACCCGGTCAACTTGCGGGGCATATTGGCTAGTATGCAACCATTTACTTACTGTCCCTATAGCTACCTGGGCAACCTTTTCATTGGGATAGCCATAAATACCGGTTGATATACAGGGAAAGGCTATCGACTTTAGGTTATGTTCAGCCATTAAATCCAATGAACCCTTATAACACGACTCCAGTTCCTTCTGATTCTCACCAACCGGTCCCACAGTATGGATAATACCTGTTGCGAAATAATATAACATTTTTATCATGGTAATTTTATTGTTTTTATAAATACATTTAGCTGGCAATTTATATCCACCGGTAATTTTACTGCTACCCGTTGGACAACCACCTAATGTCTGTGTCTCAGACTGTAGTAACTGAGCACCGGCAGCTTTATATATGGCTCCGTCCACTGGTTAATATAAAAATAATTTTAAAACTTAAATAAGCTATATAAGTTTTATTGTAATTTCACAATTTATTAATTTATTATTTTAATAATTTTATAAAATTATATTATTATTAAATCTCTATAAACCAAAATTTTTATATCCCTGCTAATGACTCTCTCTCTCTCTCTCTCTCTCTCTCTCTCTCACCCACCCACCTACTAACTAACACAAACACATATCACACCTAACTCAAATTAAATAAACAACCTACAACCAAACTCATTTGCAACACATAAAAATAAAATGATAATAAATATAAAAATAATCAAGTTAATTTTTGATTCCAATACACTCACCTCCACCACCAGGCATCAGGTGCTTATTAGCGGCGTTGACAATAGCGTCGACCTCGAGGGTAGTTATGTCGCCGACAAACACCGATATCTTATCACACAATGAGTCCATCGAGTCGTCCATTGAATCCTTTACTCCATTCGTTGATTGTCTCAGTGGTTGTATTGACGCCAATGTCTTGTAGTCATCGCCGCACTGGTATTCCCGTCGCTTCTCAGTCAATGGCATCGATAGATAGCGAGCTGTCGGTGCCATTTAAAAGCAATTTAATTGATATAATTATTATATATTAAAACTTACCCCTCTCATCATTAAAAGCCATTGTATGCCTTACGAGTTTGTTGATTAATGCTAGTAGCATGTATTAATTTTCACAATTATAATATACAATTATGAATGGTTTTTAAAATAACTGTATTAATATAACTGTAGTGTATTTATATTATAAACTGAACAATATACAGTATGTGTTGATAATATTTCAAACATTTTAAACAATGTTATGTAAATAGCTTGTAAATTGATAGTTTAATTTAATTGATGTTGAACTTAGCACCCTTATACATTGAGTATATGAAAGCTGTGAACACTTATTAAATTACTTTAATTTTAATACTTAACAAGTAAATATTATATTAAACAACCTTAGCAGTCTAGTTAATTAAACATGGTCACTAGAATATTATGGTAAAACCTTTAATGATGTTACGTAAATATTATATATTGTGTCCTGATAAAAACTTAGGATTATCAAGTTTCCCTAGATAACTATCGGTTTTCATTTATAAAATATTTTATTAAACGTTTTTATGTAACTCGTTAGTAATGAAATATTTTAGGAGTAAACAGATTGTTACCAAGGTGAACATGAAATGTCTAATATTAAATATTAAAAAACTAGTTTTATTTATTTTATTATTTTGAATTAGGCGGCGTGCACAAAGTACATACGCAAAATTTTGGAGAAAAATTGACCCCCCTCCCCCCTACACGCCCATCGTACATAGGAATTTAACATGGTGACATACGCTTTGGCAGTGCCTCCCCCTACCAGTGCGTATGTACTTTGTGCACGTCGCCTTACTAAAAATATAATTTTTAATCACATAACATTTTGCCATAGTTATTATCACTTATATATTGTAATATTACAGTATTTTTAAAAGACCTTCATAAATATTGTATTAATCAGCTTAATTTATTATACTGCATTTCACGATAACCTTGGTAATTATCTGGTATTAATTAAAATATTTTAATTCATTTATATAATATACAGTATATTATAATATAATAGCAAATTATATGTTCAACATTAGTTTTTCGCGGCATTAATTATATTATAAGTATATCCTTAGTAAAAATTATTTTAATATACAAATAGTACAATAAACATCTACAATTATAATGAACTTGCAACTTAGTTTATAAAGATTTTAACTATTGATTTATATTAAATAAATCTTATAAAAGACTAAATTGTACGTGCATCAAAATTTATTTGTGTATATTTACAGTATAAATATTAGTAAATTATGTTCTAGCTCATTTGCCTATAACCACAAATCACCATGCGAGTCTATCATTATGCTTCCCGTAAAAGCGGTGAACTCATACAAAAACAACGTGTAATTAAGGCTGGAAATGGTATATACGGACGGGGTGTCTATTTGACCTCGTTGAGTCCAGCGAACAATCCCCTGATCATATTGCTCAACAATTACGATGATGGTGAGGCCATGTTAAAGAACCCGGCTTATATGCACAAGGCTGAGGTATGTTTCGCGTTTGACTCGGAGGATATAGGCGCTGAAAGGGTGGAGGAGTCGGATCGTGACATATGGCTAGTAAGGGATGTTGATGTAAAATGGTGAATTTGTGGCATGGTACATATTTATTTTGAATGAATACGATTGTTTAGAGTAGATTATGTTTTGTAATAAAATAATTTACATGGGAACTATGTTTTTATTGCTATTTATTTTATTTTTAAAATGTGTACCAGGTAAATTTAAATTATATGTATTTTTGTTTTAAATGAATGTAAATTTTATTTATAAACTTGCTAAAATTGATGTATTGCTAAGTTATTTGTTATTAAAAAACATATAAATTAATAAGTAGAAATATTTTTCGTATAATATTATATTAGTCCGCAAACTCCACAGAATATTCTGTAGTATCCAAACCGCACGCATACAGGCGCTCGCAATGCTTACCATAACCGCTCTCGATGTGCATTCGCAGCACTGGTAGTCAGTGTTTGTAGGGCTCTGTGACCGATACATACGCACACAGACTGCCGGCGCTCTCATAGCAATCAATGCATTGACAACAGTACAGACACTCGAGAATCGGTATCTATTTTATGTGATTATTAATACCATTAATAATAATAACTCATAAAAAGTGTTGAAAACATTTTTATAATAATAATTCTTGTATAGAAAGTAAATATAAAATTAATATACTATTTGATTAACATTTAATTTAAACATATATTGCAGTGTATTGTGTTACCATGATACTGAATATCTCAAATAAATATAATAATTTATTTAGTAAACAAGAATATATTAATTTTTAAATCATCACGCAAATAAATAATAGGCAAAAGGTTTTAAAAGTTTAAACCATCAAGGTGTTGAACAATTGTTAATAACGAATTTTAATACTATTATTCTCTACAATACTATTAACTAGATAATATATAAATAATTTACAGAATCTATTATACGGTATATAATAAATATTCTGTACTTATATATTACAAAACAATAGTGTATTTCTCAAAGTTTGTAAACTATATACGTGTGAAAAAAATTATTATTTGTGACCAAATGTGTGGAAAATTAGATTTTTTTGTACTTAGCAAACAAATTGTGATTTTTTTTGTATTATCGCACACAATGCTTAAGTGTATTATATGACACGGGTGAATTATTTATTCACAGTTTGTGCCATTGTTTGGGCACTCAATATATAAATATAAATGTGACACAAACCTCCTTAATATTATACAATCTCATTGTGCATTCGCTATATACGATATGGGAGAGACTGTCATCATCATCCCTGTGCCATAAAACTGTAGTTCCACTCAATATTTACTTAAACCATAAGTTTTGTTATTGAAAAGCACTCATTCATACACTGCGTGTATATACCGTATATACTAGACATAAGCCTATCGTATATATACGTAAAGTATTATATTATGAAAAATATAATATAATTTTTAAAAACACTCAATACGTGTTTGTCTATCATATATGCAGATTCCGTATCGCAAGTGAATATTAATGAACTTTTTGGGAACTCCATCCCCCATGACCTACCGTTCCCCCCACTCAATACTAATTTAAGTCAAACGTTTTAATAATGTCTGACATATTTTGGGTATTAATTTATTAGTGATCTCTAAAACAATATTCTGTTAAAGAATTTGTTTAATAATAAAATTCTTGCGATTAATTCTAAATGAAAATATTATATTAAAAAGTTTTTAAAGTGGTTTTAATAATAAATAGTTTATAGGATTTTACAGAATATTCTGTTAAAATTTATTTTAAGTGGAATATTCTATGTTTTTGAGTGCACTTTTAACTAATGTTGAGATTAATATTAATAACAATATAAAACTTTAGCTAATAACTAGAAATACATTTCAATATTAATATAATAAAAGTGAAAAATAAATATTTATTTTCATTAAACGCATTGTAATTATAAGTATACTCCAAAAAAATTGTCTACATAAAATACAATAATAATTATTATTACAACAACAACTCATACAATAATAATCAAAATTTTATTACAATCTGTTATATAAATATATAACTCACAGAATATTCTGTAAGCGATAATAATTATCGCAATTCATTCAAACATACAATAAACCGGCGATTCGTTTATATATATAACTCTTGAAAGTGTGATTAATTTTGTAGGCCTCCCCTATGGTGACTGTGCGAATACCAGCCCATAAACCAGCCGTATATGTGAGAGGGCACCGGTAGTCGACGACAAAAATCATTAATCAATCGATCATTTGTCAAATTGCGGACTAATTTCTCTGTCTCTCTATCGCTGTATACTATCCATCGCTAGTGTCTGTGTATTTAGTGCGAGGCTGTCGTTCCCCTTTGACATCCCTATCCCTCTCTCGCGTATAGCCTTTCCAGTGCTCTGTCACTATTCAAGTGAATACAATCACGAGAGAGAGAGAGAGAGAGAGAGAGAGA